GATCAATAACGTTACATTGACATACTGACCAATGCAACTCACATTGCACTGAAAAAAAATCAGAATATCAATCTTCAATCGTTTGGCCGACGGTTTCATCGTTTGAATCAGGTCTAGTTTGACTGAGGCAAAAATAATAGCTAATGTAAGCCAACTTTTGGCCAGCTCTATCTCTAGCGGTACATCATCTGGCGAAAGCGTGCCAAGTTCATTTACTTCTGAAACCAGGGGCGCAACATTCACTGGGGACAGGAGGAACATGTCCCCCCCACATTCTGAAATTGCATTGGAATGTGATACAATTGGAATGTGATACAAAAAAGGCTGCGGTGTGCTTTAGGACCATGCGGACGCCTCCGAGCGGTCGGGTAGACTGTTTGGAGTGTTTATCTGACTGGATTAAAAAACAAGCAAACCCAAAAAATTCCCCCCCACTTCTAAAACCAAAGTTGCGCCCCTGTCTGAAACGTGACAAAACAAAGGCTACAAAACATTTCCATACAAACAACTGCTGTTAGATAGTAATAATAGCCACCTCATATCGCTATCTGACAGATAACTAATAATAATTGGTCATTTAGCAGACACTCTTATCCAGAGCGACTTACAGGAGCAATTAGGGTTAAGTGCCTTGCTCAAGGGCACATCGACAGATTTTTCACCTAGTCGGCTCGGGGATTAGAACCAGTGACCTTTCGGTTACTGGCACAACGCTCTTAACCACTAAGCTACCTGCCGCCCTAACTAGTGTTAGAAATTGCGTAATTCAAATCTGGTATTGGAATAAGAGAAAACATAATCAAGAGATATTCAATCCAAGCTAAATGTATTATATGCAAAATGTATGTATGATAAGTATGTTGGTTCGTATACGGGCTCACTGAAATACCACGCAGGACAGACAGAGAACTAAACCATTGTTTACAGGTTCTTTCTCAAATACTCTGACAGAGAGTTCCCACCTCTTCTGTTGGCCAATCAGAGTAAAGGACTGAGTGTGGTTTAGACTTTACTCAGCCAATCCGTTGGCGCACGGGTTAGTCCCAACCCCTTGGCGTTCCACCCCTTGGCGCTCCACCGTTCCCAGGCATAAGTTGCTATCATAATAACCTGTAGAGTCAGCACCCAAAAGACACCCTTCCAATCTGTACTCTATGTACCTACGTTCAAGGACGGTTTCACAGACAACAAAGAGAGAGTGTTCGTATCTGTGAGAAATACAAGTCTTATCTATAAGAAATGCAAGTTTTATCTCATCCTAGCCCCTAACGTTCCTCACATGAATCACAGCCTGCTATGTGAAACAATTTATATCAGTATAGTTCAAACCTATGCTCCTCATTAATGCATTACTTCTAAGTTATTCATCACATACAGATCCAATTATGAGAAAAATAGAACCCAACAATCCCCCTTTTCACACCCACTAGGGTGTGAACCCAAAATATGAAAACACAGGATGTCAGTCATTAAAATACAATACAAACAAAAATATTCACTTTTATTAATAGGCAATAATGATACTGAAAAATAAAAACCCTCAGTCCTTCCATCTACACCCAACTTGCAAACGGTTGGCTACCAGTCACCCAGGAACTTCAAACCTTCACATAAGGAAAGACAAACATTCACAATGGTTAGCTTGATTAATAAAGCATAAAACACAAACAGGGAAGTACATTTTGGCCCCCTTTAGACACCCTCTAGAGTGTCACTCCACCAAGCCTGGTAGGTCATATCCTTCATTCCTTAGGTCGGAGTCCGGGATTGGGCCGTATCTCACCATCTGTTTGGAAACCACCTTCTCCATCTCCTTTTCTCACCAACCTTCAGGCACAGGGAATAAGACAACATCCACAAAGAACAAGTATACCCATAGAAGCTATAACTTCACCCAGAATAGTTACAACAATAGTTTTCCATTTACCAAATATGTTATCAAACCAACCGTTTATGGAGCTATCAATACCAGAGTTCTCAGCCAGTTCGTTCGCCAGCGTGGTGAGTCCCTGAAGCGCTTTGGTCACGGACCCGTCCGGTGCTGTATTGTTTGAGGATGAAAGTACAGCACATATATCCAAACAGAACACAAACCCCATCCCGCTCAGCCAAAAGCATATCTAAAGCTATTCTATTCTGCCATGTCATTAAGCTAGTTGGAGCTGTCTGCTCAGCCAATCCCTTTATTGCATCACGAGTGTGGTTTATAAATCTTTGCTGGTTATAGTAAATATAATTTATCCAATCTACGTTTTTATTAATTGTTGACCACCAGAAAATACTTGATTCAAACCCAGCTGCGATCTGATTCCTAGCTTTGAATTGTTCTGGAACCCCTCAAGGTACTGCTATCCCATCAATATATATATCCTTTCATCAAAGGATCCCGGGAGGAGGTCCCACTTTCTACGTGACAACTCACCAGTCTCTGACACGTTTGATTGTTTGCGTATGTAGGTGAGTTCACAATCTGTTATCACCACACAACTATCAGATGTCAGCACGGGCCTGGTTTTGGTTCCTAAAATCCTCTGGCTGCTACAAAGAAGAGAGATTAGTCATGGTCTCTTTAGTTGTGATATTCTCTGTGTGGGAGCAGGAGCTAAGATGCCCTACCCTGTATCCTATCTTATTAGTCCTAGAAAAACAATAAGAATCCCCTGTGACTTCAAACTGAGGCAACCCAGGTCGGGATGACTTTGTTATCGGGGGAAACAGATAGTGCAAGTTACTACAAGACTCTTTCACCACATTCCCAGGTGGCTTGCATGGAGGATAAACCTGACAGAGAGTTAAAGCCTGTCAAGGGGAACGGAGTATTTGTTAACCTTGGTTTGGCTGTCCTACAGGCATAACAGTCCTCTTTAGACCGTATACTGAATCCATTCCAACCACAGGTTAAAATCTATTTACTCCGTCTCCATCTGTACTACTTCCTTCAGGTCTATAGTTTGCACTGTCTCACTACCTCCCTCAGAGAGGTTTACTAAACCATTCGGTGCTTGATTTATAGCTGAACACAACAGCAGTACAGGAAGGCCTGCCTCCCGACCCAGCACTAACCTAACCTAGGCCTATTTAATGACATCCTTGGGCACAATGGTTTCAATTTTATTGTATCAGTTTTCACCCGTTGTGTTCAGTCTTATAAGCACCCTGTCGATCTGTTACTGATCTGTAAATGACTATGAGAGGAGCACCGTTTCCCCCAGGATGCTTTTATTAATCAAACATTATCAGATCAGTGCAGATGACTTAAGACTTATACCTTTTTTTGTATTCATACAGAGCCATATACTTACCATGTTCTGTTCCTCGTGATCTTGGGTATATGGTGTAGTAACTAAATCATGATGCTAATTATGCTGTGAGAACAAGGAATCACTACAATGGTAAACTGATTTTAGGACTTTGCTTAGAGGCAACTTCTACCGGAACTGTTCTTGACTCATTAACCACTGAGCCGCGCTATGTCAACATTGCGTAAATTAATCTTGTGCACCAGCCGGCTCTCTCGGTCTATGCTCCAGCAATTCGAGCCTGGGGATGAGGTTACCTAGAAGTCCACTGTGGGAGGAATGTAAATATGCAGTTAATCATGTATAGTGTTCATGCAACGCTGCTGCATAATTTTTATTCAAGCCTTTGTGACCCAAATATCACAATTCTATTTGAATACAACATTTTACTTGATTGATTATGCAAGAAGAAATATTAGAAATGTCTATTGTCAGAGGCACTGGATGCATTGAAAAATGTATTTACAAGCAAAAAAAGAAAGAGGAATTTAACAAACAATTGTAAACAGGCATCTGCATTCATGTACTTTTAGGCCTATTTTATTCCTAAACTATTGTAAAAAGTATAGGTCTTTGGTGTACAATGACTTATAGAACATAGGTCATGAGGATTAAAGAAGTTACTTGAATACTGGCAGTGTTTGTTTTCCCCTCCTGGTTGAAAATGACATGTGGAAGGAAAAGTAAAGTTCTCTATCTAACCAAAAACACAAAACAATCAATCATTCAACTCCAACCTCATTTAATGATATTATCATTATAAAACATGAAAGCACTTTAGTCATTGAATGGTGTTGTTTGGGAACATTGGACATGCTTTATTTCAGAACTTTTCACAATTGATTTAAACATCTCACATATACAAAATAGGTACAATAAACTTTGTGGTTTTTTTCTTTTGAGAGAGAGAGGCCGCCTAAAATCCATTAAAAATGGATGAAATAATGTGCTGTCTGCATGAACACTGCATTGATGGGGGAGAATTTAAGGAGTAAAATGTCTGAACAAAACCAAACCAAAACTTCTAGACAAAAATGAACAAAAATACTAAAAGAAACGGTCAAAACCAGACAAACATCAGACCAGATTTAGGAAAATTCCACCTGCTTAAAATGGGGTTAATCAGGGAGAACTGTGCAAGACTCGTCAAAATCAAAAGAAAGAAACACAGTAAGAATGAGAGTGGTTTCCTGCTCCTACACAGCTGTATGTTTAGCACCATAGGTCTCTGCTTCAAGTAATTCAGCACCTTTGATACAGGACGGAGCTTGAAGCCTTAGAACTCGTAACATCTACGTTGTGGATCAGACAGGTTCTCAATATTTTTTTCTAAAACACAGGCATGAGGTAGCTTCAACCTTTTTTTGTAATTTTTTTGTGGTTTTAAACCTCCTCGTTGGAAGATATACAAAGACCACAAAGTGATGCATACGTTCAGCGTTTTTATTACACTTCTTTTATTTTTTACAAAATGATGACATGTCCCACAACATGGTGTTTTCCCGCGTCTCTTTGGGCTGCTGTATTAATTTGCATTGCACAACGCTCCGTTCAGTCCATTGGTCCTCTCCGATAGAGCCCAGCTTAAGCAAGTGGATGCGCAGAGGAAATCAGCATTCAGTATAAAACCAACACAGAAAAAAGGGCAGAGATTCTTTTTTTTCTTTCTTTCTCTCTTTTTTTAATTGATCATGAGTCTATTTATTTGAAACAGACTGGGCCAATGTCCAAACCAAACCCTTGATCAGCTCCACCAATGTCCAAAGGTGCTATGTCGAGGATGGGCAGGCGAGATGGTTTATTTGTTCTGTATTCAATGACTGTCTTGCTCCACTGGCCAGTGTGTCTCTGCAGAGGTAGGACAAAAGGAGAAACCATGTATCAGAACAGTGCACCCACTCAGTATATCAAATCGTGAAAACATACAAATGCTTCACTTACAATAATACCCTACAGTAGCCTATGATACTTTACATAAAGAGTCAGATTCCCAAACTCTTTCACTAACCAGTAAGTTACATAAAACGACCCTGAGCCTGAGTTCACCCTTCCACCACGCACTGCATCTAATTGTGTGAGTGAACACAGAGAGAGAACGAACAAAGCTATTGTTTGAGACATTGCGGTGGAAATAGAAAGGGGACTTACAGTGCAGCCGTCCTCCAGAACGTTGAAAGTGAAGCGGCTGTTGCCCTCGGCACTCAGCTCCACGTCATTGGAACCCTGCAGGAGCACGGCCTTCTTCAGGTTGCCGTTCTCTCCGTCCATGTATGCCACGCTGTTCTTGCAGTGGTACGTGATGTTCTGGGTGGCCTGGTTGGCCAGGAGACGCATGAAGGCCAGCTGAGTGGCCATGCTCTGAGGGCTCAGGGTCTCGTCGTTGTACGCAAACTGTGAAACAACATAGGAGGAATTAAGACAGGATCAGTGTCAAGATGTGGTCTCAAGCATTTAGAAAAAAACCTTGGTGAAGAATCGTATAGATAGATAGATGTCTGATGATCTCTTTAAAATGGAACCAATACGATCATGTTAAGGGTACTGGAGATTAATGTAAGCCAATAACATGGGCCTATACTATACTACTAAAATATGCCTAAAATCAGACTGGTGTGCCAATCAAATCAATGTGTCTTCCTCCCCTGATGTTCAAACTGTCCGCTCTTGTCATTAGAATCAGTACAGGTTCAGTCTGCTCACCTCAGTACCACCGTTGATGGTCTCTCCGAACCAGACGTGCTTCTTGTTCTCAGAGCTCCTGTACCAGTTCTTGCGGGCGATGCTCTCTGGGTGAGGGTGGATGCAGGTGTGTCCGGTGGAGAAGTCGCAGTGGGCCTTGATAGCGTCAGCGATGCAGCCCTGGTTGGGGTCGATCCAGTAGAAACCTGCAGGGGAGGACAAGAGAGAGAAACATTGATTAGCTCTGATAATCCTACTAACACTATTATTAATACTTCAGTGGGACTTTTCATTGTTTAGGTGTTGTTTACATTTTGAGTTTCAGGTTCAACATGATACTGTACTGAATATTGTATGGGTTTGATCGCTCAAGGAGAGTATTGGTAGTGAAATGTAGAGTGATAGATAAAGAGATGGAGAGTTGTTGAGACTCCAAGGAAGTAGATATTTTAGTGGTTAAGAGAGTATGATGGTTCTAAGGCACCTCAGTGAGTCAACCAATCAATAAAGAGAAAGACAGAGATGTGTCTGTGGCACCAACTCACCACTGCTCCATTCGGGGTGGCTGAGTCTGATGTCTCTGCAGGTACGGGCGGGGTTCTTCTTGGAACCCTCGGGGGTGAGCATGTTCTCGATCTGGGAGTTTAGGGATTTGATGGTGGCGTCCACCTCGTAGTCCTTGGCCCTGAGAGAGGGCTGGTCGGCTCTGTACTCATCGTAACCACCAGACTGGTCGTATCCGCCACCAGCGGGACCTGCGGGTCCGGGAAGACCAGGAGAGCCGGGGGGACCCTGTGGGTGAGAGAAGAGAGTTAACAACCTCAACCTTGGTCAAAGGTCACTGCTGCTACTGCTGCTGCTACTGAGAAGTATCTCATTTTCACTTTCCCCTGCTACAAGTGTAACTTGTATCAGTGAATTTATGTTTAAGCTAATTATATGTCAACCTAGATACATTATGTGTTGGGATGTTAACAGCTAGTATCTGCCTTCACACAGAGCTTATATGATCACCCCCCTTTGTCGGCAATACTGTGCCTTTTGGCTGACTGACTAACTGACTGTGTGGCTGACTGGCTGACTTACTGACTGGCTGAATGGCTGACTGACTGACTGACTGACTGAGGCTGGTGTGTGAGTACTAGATATACTCACAGCAGGTCCGAGATGTCCAGCGGGACCACGGTGTCCAACAGGTCCGATAGCACCATGTCCTCCAGCTCTACCATCCTTACCAGGGGGACCATGGGGTCCGGCGGGGCCCTAGAGACAAGCAGAGGGAGATGACAAGGACAGGTGTCAATACATGTCTTTTATCTGTCTAGTTGGAGGAAGATACAATGGAGGGAGCATTTGATGTAGATAGCACTAGTTACTTACTCTGGGTCCAGCAGGTCCAGTGATACCAGCAGAGCCAGTCTCACCAGATGGTCCCTGGAGGGGAGAGATATGGTTAGATTAGAGACCTCAGGGGTAGATACAGCATACTGTAGGGGAGAGATATGGTTAGATTAGAGACCTCAGGGGTAGATACAGCATAAGAACATTGTAATACAGTAAATTATTCACATTTATGTGAAGTGGCTATAAGGCTTCTGTAAATAAAATGGAGAAGCTGATACAAACTTGAGGATATGGGATGGAATATTTCAGGATATGAGATTAGATCATGATGGATGGATGGATGGATGGATGGATGGATGGAAGGATGGATGGATAGATGGATGGTCAGAGCAGTCATCATGACTTACGTTTGGTCCGGGCATTCCCTGGAGACCACCATGTCCACGCAGACCCTTCATACCTCTGTCTCCCTTCTCTCCAGCCACACCCTTCTCTCCACGGGAACCAGCGGGGCCCTACAACACAAGGAGACACAGAACCATAACAGAGGTGCGTTATTTCATATAGACCTACAGTATAGGCACAACTAGGCTACGGCGATGCACTATAATAGTTGAAATGATTTGACAAGTTATAATTCAGCAGTCCGAGTCAAGATGAGGTTGGATTGGGTACTCACTTGGGCACCACGGGCACCAGCAGCACCGACGGGACCACCATTTCCAGTTGGGCCCTAGAGAGGCAGAGAGGAAGAAGATGTAGAGATGGAACCACAGTAACATGCTAGAGATGGAACCACAGTAACATGCTAGAGATGGAACCACAGTAACATGCTAGAGATGGAACCACAGTAACATGCTAGAGATGGAACCACAGTAACATGCTAGAGATGGAACCACAGTAACATGCTAGAGATGGAACCACAGTAACATGCTAGAGATGGAACCACAGTAACATGCTAGAGATGGAACCACAGTAACATGCTAGAGATGGAACCACAGTAACAGTTTTTCTGTGTAGAGTAGAAGTGATGTCTGTTTTATGTGAATATGAACTTACAGACTCTCCACGGTTTCCAGGTCTGCCGACGGCGCCGGAGGGTCCGTTGGGTCCGGGTTGACCAGAGCTTCCAAGGGTTCCAGGAGAACCAGGCTCACCACGGTCACCCTGCAAGGGGGCAAAGTTCAAGGTTCAAAGTTGAAAGTTCAAGACATTGTTTCAACTGATATGAAGGTCAGTTCATATGAATGTTCCTGTGATGAAGCCTGTAAAATGGAATCAGCTTCCTCTCCCCCAATCCTAACCTTAACCATTAGTGGGGAAAATGCAAAACTGACCCCCAAATCAGCGTCTAGGGGCAACTTCACCCTACACCACACAAGACAGAGAGGAGTGTACCTTGAAACCAGCAGTTCCGGGACGGCCGGGAGGTCCATCGTTGCCAGGGCTACCCTGTGGGGTGACACAATAGCATGTTAATTGCGTTGCCATGGGAACTGCAGGTGAACTGTAATTTCGATTTTGAGCCATGTGTTTACTTACAGGCTCTGAGTACTTGTTTAACACATCAATCAATCAATCAATCCTTACCTCACGTCCAGCCTCTCCCTGAGCACCAGTCATACCGGGCATGCCAATGTTACCAGCGGGACCACGGGGTCCAGAGGCACCAGCAGGTCCAAGTCTACCAGGCTCACCCTGAATGGCACAGAGTATCACAGGGTCAACACAGTACAAACACATACCATAGTAACACACAGTCAATGTACTGTATCCATAACTCATCAATGGATTGCAGCGCAGACAAATATGGTTGACTGGGCTCCACTAGTCTGGAATAGCCTATCATTTTCAAGAAGTGTGATTTGGCCCATTTTTGATCAACGTCATTTCAATATTATATGCCAAATAGCACATTCTCCAGAGATTTTTTTCTTTCTGCGGTCGGATGTGTCTGCTAAATCAGTTTGAATAATGTTTGTAAACAACAGAAGGTGTGATGTTCTCACCACAGCACCAGGACCGCCAGGAAGACCCTTGTCACCACGGGAACCAGGCAGACCAACGAAGCCAGAGGGTCCGAGGAAACCTTGAGGTCCAGGGGTACCAGGAGCACCCTGAACAGGGACAGGAGATCAGGAGGTGAGAGTGGAGAAAAGCAGAGAACGGAGAAAGAAACCCAATAAACTTTCCCCCATCGCCATTAGTTTTGTTACGCAGCCCAAACAATGTAAAATGCTTTGAGACCAAATGAAAAGCTAGCCTGGTCCCAGATCTGTTCTGTGCTGTTTTGCCAACTCCTATGGTCCTGTTGCAAAACAGCACAAACAGATCTGGGACCAGGCTAGTGAAAGGCATGACATAAATCCCATCCATTCTTGAGTAGAAGCTTACTGAGAGGCCTCAATGGGAGCTATGATGACTTACGGGAGGACCGCTCTCTCCAGGGGATCCCTTGTCTCCAGCGATACCAGCGGGTCCACTATGTCCCTGCTCTCCCTGAGGTCCCCCGGGTCCAGGATCACCACGGAGACCACGAGGGCCATCCTTACCAGCGGGACCAGCAGAGCCAGGGGGCCCAGTAATACCCTGTGTGTGGGGAAGAGGACGGGACAAGTGGTTATTGAGGGAAGAAAGTGAGAGGTGTGTGTGTGTGTGTGTGTGTGTGTGTGTGTGTGTGTGTTTACTTACAGCGGGACCGGGGCCTCCAACTCTACCGGCAGCACCAGGGAAACCAGTCAGACCCTGAAGAGAAAGAACACAGAGGTCAAAGGTAGAAAGCAACCAAGGTCACTGGGTCACAGAGAGATGGGGTGTCGTTTACAGGCGGCTGGTGGCACCTTAATTGGGGAGGACGAGCTCATAGTAATGGCTGGAACGGAGTTAATGGAATGGTATAAAACAAATGGTTTCCATTTGGTTGATGCCATTCCATTAACTCCATTCCAGCCATTATTATGAGCCATCCTCCCCTCAGCAGCCTCCTGTGTTGTCGTGTGTGTGTGATATCAGTGACAGCACTTACAGAAGGTCCAGCATCACCACGACCACCAGGGGGGCCAGCGGGTCCACTAGCACCCTAGACAAGAAAACAAGAAAAGTCACTAAATTATAGAATTCCCAGTAAGGATTTACAGTACATGATGTCCACTGTCTGTGTGAATGGATATAGTTGATTCCCGTTGAAGTAGGTGGTTAGAATGGGCTTTATGTTTCACCTAGGAATGAAGAGAACCAAGTGAGTTAGTAAGTAATATAGCATTTCTGGGTGAGACTTACAGAAGGTCCAGATTGGCCAGCAGGTCCAGCAGGGCCGGCGGGGCCGACGTCTCCCTTTCCACCAGCGGGTCCCTTGTCTCCTCTAGGTCCAGACTGACCATCAGAACCCTGCATGGAACACAAAGACACGGGTCAGAACAGAACCCACAGAACAAGGGCCGCAGCAACACAAGGTAGTGTGTGTGTGTGTGTGTTGGCGCGCGTAAACAAGTTTGTCTATGTGTGTGTATGAGTCTGCCAGTCAGTGAATGAGTGAGGTTGTATGTGTGTGTGTGTGTGTGTGCATGTTTGAGGGTATACGCTTCCATGTTAAAGAAAATCACTATATTTTGATGCATACATGTGACGTGTTTATGTGTGGTTTCAGGGTATCAATCGAAGCAGTACTTACAGGGGGTCCGGCGAAGCCGGGAGGTCCGGCAGGTCCACCCTCTCCACGCTCTCCCTAAAACAGAGCAGGAACACAGGGACAAAGTGTCAGAGGAGACCCTACATGTACAGTCAAGATATACACATCCATCCAGACAGACAGACAATCTAGCGTCAACTAACCACTGATATGACATGATAGTGTTGACTGATGTAATGTCTTTTGGGAAGACATTCTGAATAGTAGATCATGTTAGTCCTTAATTCCTTTGAGGGGTGATGAGTAGATTAAGTTATATGTGTTATGATGTGTTATGTGTTATAATGTGTTATGTGTTATAACGTGTTATGATGTGTTATAATGGGTTATAACGTGTTATAACGTGTTATGACGTGTTGTAGGTACTTACATTGGGTCCACGAAGACCAGCAGGTCCGGCAGGGCCGAAGGAGCCAGATTCACCCTGAAAGAGAGCAAAGATGGAGAATATAAGGGCTCAATCAATCCAAAAAAGATCAATATCAATCCAAAAATCTGAAAAAAATCCGCTTGGAAATGGCTCGGATGTAAAATACTTCTTCATGGTCTGCATAACTTTGATCAATGAACCCTAGCCTTTCAAGTTCCACGGGATGTCCAGTATTCAAGTTGAAGCGTATTAACTACTATTTGTTTCCAAACCAGGCAAAACAATGACGTTATTATGTCTACCACCATCAGTTGCCATATCCTGGTAGATGAATTTGAAGTGTGATGGTATATAATGGAGCAGGTGTCCAGGCAGTGTTGTCTTTCAGGGGCATGTCCAGTAGGCACATCATGAGAGAAAACGTTTTGAAACAGGGAGGTGCTTGTCCAATCAAAAATGCAGTTTTCCGATGCAAATTGTAAAAATAAATATTGGCGCTATGGTGTACCCTCCTGATCATGACCCAGGTTTCCATCATTTGGAGATGACATCAGCAGTTTGGACCTTGGCAGTGTGCTACTGAAAACTGTCCAGCAGATTGAGATGTTGAGGTTCTAGATTCAGAAGCTGTGGCAGGTGGGTCAGTGCTATCAGGGATCCTTGGGACATCCATACCCTAAACCCTAACCTTACCCCCTACCCTAACCTTAACCATAGCCTAACCTTAACCATTTCAAATTTCAGCTGTATATAATTTCAACTTCAATGGGGTAGGGACATCCCAAGGATCCCGGATAGCACGGACGTGGCAGGTGGGGCGCTGCTCGTGATCCAATTGACATTTTAGTCATTTAGCAGATGCTCTTATCCAGAGCGACTTACAATTAGTGAGTGCATAAATTTTTCATACTGCCCCCCCCGTGGGAAACGAACCCACAACCCTGGCGTTGCAAGCGCCATGCTCTACCAACTGAGCTACAGGAGGGCCAATATGCTAGTCCTCTCTGGTCTGGACTACAGAGGCCTTTGTTGTTGTCCAAATATTCATAATGACCATACTCAACAATATGATCAATTCATTATCTTGATTACTTGTGAAGAGCCAAAGAGTCTTGAAGGAGGCTCGCTATTCCTCCTCTGTAGGTCAGTGAACAGTAGTCCATCTTGGATTTCATGGATGTGCATAATCGTTGACAAATCTTCCCTAAGTGAGCCCCACAATATTTCTCATCATCATCATCGTCCTTTGCTATCCTTTCATGTGTTGAGGACTAAGGGAGCAGATATTCAGGCTGTTTACCTTTTCACCATTAGCACCGGAAGGTCCAGGGGGTCCACTTGGTCCGGGGGCACCCTAGAAAGAGACACAAGGCACAAAGTCAGACTAAAACACAATCGAGACAGAATAACAATTTATTGGATGTTGTTTTCACTGTGAAAGTGACCGAATGAGATGAGAGAGGAACTTACACGGGCGCCATCTCTTCCCATGTTACCCTCAAGTCCTCTGTGTCCACCCTCACCCTAGATTGGAAAGGGGGAAAATACATGTTAGTCACTCATTTAAAATAACCATTATATACAGTTGTTTTTAGTCAAGGTCTATCAGAGAAGATTCTGCATTAAGGCTGAGAATGTCCAATTCTCCCAATGTTTGTACTGTGAAATAACGACCAAGCGCTGCATTTCACATCAGCACATCAGAAATGATCATTTGCATAAATTACAGCTTTTATTAAACTTTTTACATAATTTCTGTTTGCCTCGTGAAATTGAACTTTTTTATATATGTTTACAGGCAGCATATTCGGGGGGACTTACCTTCTCACCCTTGGGTCCAGGAGTACCACCGGCACCGCGCTCACCGGGCATGCCACCGGGTCCTTGGTGTCCGGGGCCACCAGCAATACCGACAGAACCAGGCTCTCCCTGAAACACAGACATTGGTTAAGAATGGTTCCACTTATAAGCTATCCATCTCATGGAGCAAGCCCATGAGTGGTTAGAAGCTTCATCTGAATACAGTGCTTAAAAGAACAGTGGTGTATTTCTCATACAGAATCAGTTTGCGTCTTCATCAAAACCATACATTAGTACTACCAGAGCTATTGTTCATATATTTTGGTTATACCTACTGTAGGGCCAGGAGGTTTTCCAGACCACACAACCTGACCAGGTGACCAGGAAAAACTCTGGGCATTGTTTACAACAATAATATAGTTCTAAGCCCTTGATAGAGCTGGGATCACCTTGCCCTATTAACAACGATAATATGGTTCTAAGCCCTTCGTAGAGCTGGGATCACCTTGCCCTATTAACAACGATAATATGGTTCTAAGCCCTTCGTAGAGCTGGGATCACCTTGCCCTATTAACAATGATAATATGGTTCTAAGCCCTTCATAGAGCTGTGATCACCTTGCCACCATCGGGGCCTGGAGTTCCAGCAGGTCCACGAGCACCGATGGCTCCCTGAGATCCAGCAGAGCCAGCAGGACCGGGGTTTCCACGCTCTCCCTAGGAACAGACAGAGAGAGAGGGCGACTGTCAGCACCAGGGCTCTGTCATGGGCACACCACAGTATGTATACACTACAGGTGTGTGGGTGTGAGATGTATATAAAGATAGGGTCTAGTTAAGGCCTGAATAGTGCCTGGGTCCTACTTAAGAGTACATGTAAATGGGTGAACAGGATAATGTGCATGGCAACAGGTGCATGGTTGACCAGCAGTCAGGAAATCATACTTAATGGTCTGTGAGAGGTATGAGTGGACATACCTTGACACCAGCGGGTCCAAGGAGTCCCTGGTCTCCGGGCATACCCTGTTGAGAGATGAATGCTTTGTTAGTGCAAAATATTACAAAACATTCCTTTGTTAGTGCAAAATATTACAAAACATTCCTTTGTTAGTGCAAAATATTACAAAACATTCCTTTGTTAGTGTAAAATATTACATAGTGAGAATACCATTAGAATAAAGAGAATATACTGAAATGGAGAGAAAAGGAGGTAACATTTCTATAAACTAAAATGGATTTTGCTATTAAGTTTGTGTTATAGGGTAAATGTATGTGTTTGTGGATGTTGGTTTGTTATGGCTTTGTGGATGTAGGTTTGTGGAAGTGTTTATGTGTCTGTGGCAGTACAGTGGGTTTGTGTTACAGGTCACAGGTTCTAGGTTTAGTTACTCACTTGGTTGCCAGCTTTGCCAGCCTCACCAGCAGGTCCAGCGGGGCCGGGCAGACCCTGGAAACCAGGAGCACCAGAGGGTCCCTGCTCTCCCTTCTCACCAGTGTTACCCTGTAGAAGAGGAGTGAATCAAGTTAAATCAAATACAATACAATACAATTCACTGTAAGATTAGATTCTAGTTATTACTGTGTATTTAGAGGATATAGGGTAGGCTACTTACAACAACTCCAGCCGGGCCGGGGGCTCCATTGTTGCCATCGGCGCCTGGGCCACCCTAAGCAGAGAGAGGGAGAGGTAGGTGAAACACTGACACTGGCAGCAGGTGAATGATCAATGATCCATGGTAGTTCAGTCAGAGTTCATAGGAAACACAACTCTATTGTAATAAATAACTATAGATGTAGAGTAGGTAATACATTTGTGTTGACTGTTTGGCTCTGTCCCATCAGTCATACGAGGTCACAGATTTAGGATACTTAGCTTTACCAACCGCTCATTTGAGAGATGGCTACCATAGTAGTAAATGAATGCCTTTAACAGTAGAGAGTTGATAATGTAATGAATGTTGTCTGATGTGGGGGTACTTACTCTCAGACCAGTTGCACCAGTAGGTCCCTTATCACCACCCTTGCCAGCCTCACCCTGGAGGGAGAGAAGGAAGAAGAGACCATGGAAACGTCAGATGATCATCGTTTCATGTTGGATGACAGACCATCAAGATAGATAGCAATCTTTTTAAGCCTAAAAGCATATTCTGTCCTTCCAGATCACTTCCAGATCACTTCCTGTTTATTCATTTGGTCATATTCTGCCCACATAGAAGTGCAACAACACCCCAGCTGTCTCTCTCACAGTCCAATCTCACGCTAGCAGATCAACTTCCTGGTTTTACTTCCTGGTTCTACTTCCTGTTTCTACTTACTCCAGGTCCCTTGGGGCCGGGGAATCCAATGTTACCGGGCTGGCCTCTGGGTCCAGTTGGGCCAGGGGGGACCAGTGCGGCCATCCAGACCAGCAGCACCCTGGAAGAGGACACACAAAACACACCGGGGATCAGATATGGCACAACACCACTAGGTGGGTTTTAACATTGTTGGTGGATGGGGTGGGTTACTGTAACCATAGCACCAATTCAATGGAAGTGCTTTGAACCAAGCCATTATTATGACCATCAGTTTCATTGTATTCTATTATTTTATGATATACAGTGTTTGAAAGGATCCATATTGGAGATGTGTTTAATTACTTACAGATGCGCCTTCCTTGCCTGGGGGTCCACCCTGTCCAGAGTTTCCGGGCAGGCCCTATTAACAGACAGAACTTGTTAGTCATTCAGCATCAACAGCTAGAGAACACATGCTATATTTGGTTCAGAGATTAGACAGTCAGAGAATCCATTACACATCTTATTGAAACATTATGATTGACAGGTGCGTGTGACACTTACTCTGGCTCCAGTCAGACCAGGCTCGCCAGCACGACCGGCATCACCAGGGGGTCCACGGATACCACCAGGGCCGGTGGCTCCGCGAGCTCCGGGCATACCCTGGCAGAGAGAGGGGGGAGGAAGAGCAAGCCATGAGAACAGAACAGTCACTATATTACAAGGTCAAATTTACTATTTTCTTCCTGCCTTTGAACAATTTTCATCATGGTTAATAATATTTTTAGTAGACAGAATATTTTGGGAGACTTACAATGGGACCACCTCTTCCCTCCAGACCAGGCAGACCCCGAGTTCCAGCACCTCCCTATAAGACACAAACAGACAGACAGACAGACAGACAGACAGACAGACAGACAGACAGACATAAGTCAACCATAACCACTCACCTGCACCTTATAGCAAATACACCAAGATTTTACCCCCAGACTGGGTCTGGTATGACATACTCACTCTAGCTCCACGCAGACCAGCGGGCCCGGTGGCACCAGCCTCGCCAGTTGAGCCTCTCTTGCCCTCCTCACCAGCGGGACCAGCGGCACCCTGGACACCAGAGTGACCCTGAAGGAGAAAGCAGAGACCTTAAAGACTGACACAAACACACACCATGTACTGGCATAATGATACAGCACAACTATACTGCTAAACAGCAGTAGCATGGATACTTACAGGCTCTCCCTTAGCACCAGAATCTCCCTTTTGTCCAGAGGGTCCAGGGTCACCCTGCAGTCAAAGAGACACAGATACATGATCAATACCTCAATATTCATACAGATTGTGTTAGTAAAGTGTTGCATTGCTTTTTAGGTCCAGTGGTACTCACACCAAGGCCTCTAGCTCCAGTGGATCCTTGGGGGCCCTGGGGGCCGGGACCTCCTCTTGGGCCTGGGAAACCAGGGGCTCCAGCAACACCGGGGAGACCCTAGAACACACACACACACACAGGATGGAAGAAATGGTGAGTAAGGAGACAGCTGAAGCACCTACTGCATAAACATTATCATAACATTACCTAATCACATTACCCAATATCCAATGGTGTCACTAGAACAGTTACTTATGGCTAATATCACTTCCATGTAATGTGGGAACTGAATTAATTTCTGTACATCATGAATTCTAAAGCTAAAGCGATTCATTGTTGATGCTATTTGAGTGTGCTATTTGCTGATAAGTCAACTGTTGTGCTTCATTCATAACTCATATCATGCCAACACAAGTTCAAGGGTCAAGTGAACAAGATTCTACATCTTGACCTTTGTCTCACCCTAAATTACCTTTGAACTGTCAATCTAGTCTACCCACAATGCAACTATGACCAGAAAACTTACAGCAGCTCCCTTGGCGCCGTTGATACCGTTGTTACCAGGGTTACCCTACAAGGAGAGGAAAATGAAAGAGCGAGTGTTACAGACAAGTGTGTAGAGACGCCAAGACGCCAAGAAACCAACCAACATGATGGAAAATATATATGACCATTGGAGAGAGTTACATTATGTGTTTCAGGAACAGGTAACAAGAAAACCAAGCGAGAGCCTTCAATATGACATATTTCACACTGTGATAATGTTGTGGTTTGTTGGTAGTGTATACTTACATTGGGACCGACGGGGCCAACGGCTCCATTAACACCGGGCTCTCCTCTGCCTCCCTGAGGTCCGGATGGGCCATTGGATCCAGCAGCTCCAATCTCTCCCTGTTACAAAACAGTAACATATTCTCTAAGTCACACAATCCAGTCAAATGGGTAATAGGATGTTTTATAATGTTATATAGATGTTTGATGGTATATAAATCCTCATGGGAATACTATGTATGGAATCATTAGTTTGGTCAAGATGATTGATCCCTTTAGACAGTAAACCAATCAGATTATTGGATAGTGATAACAAATTAGAGAATCATGATGGGTGTTGAGAAAGCTCCTTAGATGTGCTTCTACAGTTCTCAGAACTGGGAATCTGGGAATCTTCTCTGGTGTCCACACTAATAATGTCCATGATATTCTACGGATGATATTCGGAGGATGATATTCTAAGGATTGTGATCATAAAGAAATGCTCTGGAGATGACCATGATGACATCACACTCACCTTGGGGCCAGGGGCTCCAGGGAAACCAGGGGGGCCAGCTGCTCCAAGAGGACCCTGGGAAACAGGAAATAGAGAGAGGACATAGTGAAATAGAGGTCAAGGGTTACAGTAAGTGTTGTAAGATGAAGCTACCCCTAGAAGCGGACGATCTAACTTCAGTTTTAGCATTTCCACCTGTAGTGATTTAGGTTAGGATTACAAGAGGGATAAGCTGATCCTAGATCAGGTCTGGGCCTAAAGATACAGTAACTTCTACAGAGGGGTCACTCCTAGGTGATCCATTAGGTTAAGGGGTCAGAGGTTATGGGGTCAAAGGAGAAGTAGCACTCACAGCAGGGCCGCTGGGTCCACTGCTTCCATCAGCACCACGGGCACCTGCAGGGCCAGCAGGGCCGGCACGGCCTCTCTCACCATTCAGACCACGAGAACCCTGGGGTGGGGAAGAGAGGCAGAGAGCGATCGAGAGAGAGGGAGAGAGGGAGAGAGAGTATGTTTGAGTGCACAATTATATATATATTTTTTTGTGCGTGTATGTAGTGAGTATATATTGTATATGATATATTACTGGTTGTACATTTGATTTCCCAACTAGGATAATACATATTGATTGGTGATCAGTAGACAGTGAAGAGGACACAGCAAGTACTCATCTCCACTGTGTTTCCTTTGCAATCAGCTATGTGAATGCAATGTATTTTGCATGTGACAAACGGTAAAGAATCAATGTGAGGTACATTCAGACTCGGCTATGCAGGTGACATGTTTCATTAGTGATACATATGCCTTGGGCTGACACCTGACAACATGCTTATTTTGACATTTTCCTCTAGGGAACAATATGATGAAAAAGTGAAGGGTGACGTAATGTGTGAACTTACAGCTGATCCTGGGTTTCCATTAGCTCCATGGGCACCAGTCTCACCCTATGGGAGAAGCAGGAGAACACGTATTCAGATGACAGGAGGTCGTAGGTTACGAACGGTGTGAACACTGGGATATATCTGGATTGGTAAGCATGGGTGTAATAGAAATGTAATTCTCTGAGATTTAGAATAAATATGTAGGTACTATGGTGAACGAGTGAAAAAACAAACACAGATATTTGAGTAACCGCTATCAATGTAGAGTGATTGCGAAAAAACTTGCACTAAAATGTGCAACTGTATGTGAAATTGACTTTACTTTTAGGTGTTACAGGGTCGGTTTTCCGGACCCAGATTAATCCTATACGTTGAGTCAAAAGCTTGCACAATGGATCTCTCTATTGAAAGTATTTTTTAGTTCAGGGCTAGGCTTAATCTGTGTCCGGGAAACCGGCCCACAAAGATGAAAGCTAAATCCCTGTTACACCTCTTAATGCAATTTGTGGGGTTTGACAGGGATAAAGGAATGAGGTTGTGATTATTTGTGGGGTTTGACAGGGATAAAGGAATGAGGTTGTGATTATTTGTGGGGTTTGACAGGGATAAAGGAATGAGGTTGTGATTATTTGTGGGGTTTGACAGGGATAAAGGAATGAGGTTGTGATTATTTGTGGGGTTTGACAGGGATCAAGGAATGAGGTTGTGATTATTTGTGGGGTTTGACAGGGATAAAGGAATGAGGTTGTGATTATTTGTGGGGTTTGACAGGGATAAAGCAATGAGGTTGTGATTATTTGTGGGGTTTGACAGGGATAAAGGAATGAGGTTGTGATTATTTGTGGGGTTTGACAGGGATAAAGGAATGAGGTTGTGATTATTTTGTGGGGTTTGACAGGGATAAAGGAATGAGGTTGTGATTATTTGTGGGGTTTGACAGGGATAAAGGAATGAGGTTGTGATTATTTGTGGGGTTTTACAGGGATAAAGGAATGAGGTTGTGATTGAGGAGGATGTACTGTGGCTGCAACGTTACCTTAGCACCAGCTGAACCAGGCTCTCCTTTGCGTCCATCCAGACCATTGTAACCCTGGAGCACAGAGAGAACAGGTTAGCATCCTGAGACAATACACAATTCTTATAGTCTAAAATCAATTAAGAACAGGAAACAAATACCCCCCCCCCCCCCCCCCCCCCTTATCGTTCAGATCATATTGATTATCTGGTGAGGGAATATTAATTTGAGCATTATCTAGAGATCTCTGCTTCTTGTATTCTTTTTGATGTGGGATGCATTTTCGCTCAGTTTCTCATGGGACAAAACTCCTCCTAATTTCCAATCATTACTAGTCTTTTCTAAAGACTATATCTAAAAAATACACGTTATTCCCTTCATAGTGCACTTGACCAGAGCCACATAAGTCAGAAGTAGTGTTCTAAATAGGGAATAGGGTGTCATTTGAGATGAGTACTACAAGGGAAGTGTGTGACTGGGTCACATTCAGTGGGGTGCAACGTTACAGAACATCCAGATAGAAATGTATGACGTAGAACAGAACATGATTTTCTGTAATGTGGAAAGGAGATTCATGTCAGCTCTATACAAGTAATCTCTATCTGTAACCTTCAGAGCGTTGCACCCTCCTGAAGGCTACCCAGGTGTGTCTCCAGGACAGAACAGGTATACTGTATAACAGGGTCGTTGGGAGGTCGTTAGGAGAGGCAGGGCCAGGTAGGTATTAATGTAAATACTCACTCTGTGTCCCTTCATTCCAGGAAGTCCAGGAGTTCCGGGGAATCCACGAGCACCCTACAGAGGAGGGAGAGAAGAGGTTAGAAAAATGTCTGTCTGTCTGTGTCTGCAAGTTTTACGTGATAACACTTTATGGGTTAATGTATATTTAGTGTCAATGTATATTTTGTTAACTGTCTGTCAGCTCTGGATATTGCCCTTACCTGAGTTCCGGGGCCACCTCTGTCACCAGGCTTGCCAGGTCTGCCGTTGTTACCCTACAATTGAACAGACAAGCTGCATTAGATGTGTATACTGTAGGTCCACTATCATGATAGCATATGTCTGTTGCATTTTCCACATTCACTAATCGCCCCAGTAGGCAAGTAGTGCCACAGGTAGGAAGTTATTAGACCAAACGTTAGACCAAAATAACACAGAGGATTTTAACTGTTTACTTACATCCTCACCGGGCTTGCCAGCGGATCCAGGAGGTCCACGAGCACCAACAGAGCCCTTGGATGAGAGAGAAGTCAGAGTTCAGGGTTAAGGTCATAGGTCATAGTCAAATTCTGTGTTCCAGGTTCTATGTTGGCTTTCTGTGTAGCGGTGTAGTGTTGATGGCTGCATCTGTGTCTGTAGAGTTGAAATTGTTAACCTACTGTATTGGTACACCTGCGCATGGACAGATATGAGAAATGAATATCTGTTTAGTCCAAATTGACTATGGGGTATCACTGGGTCGTGTGAGAAATGAATATCTGTTTAGTCCAAATTGACTATGGGGTATCACTGGGTCGTGTGAGAAATGAATATCTGTTTAGTCCAAATTGACTATGGGGTATCACTGGGTCGTGTGAGAAATGAATATCTGTTTAGTCCAAATTGACTATGGGGTATCACTGGGTCGTGTGAGAAATGAATATCTGTTTAGTCCAAATTGACTATGGGGTATCACTGGGTCGTGCCGTGTTGGATTATAACTATACTACATATGGGACATTGTTGAAGATGTGGGATAAGGGGTGGAGGAGAGAGAGTAAGGGATGCGTATAGAGTATCAGGCTGAGCTCTGATCAACCTGTTATAGACCAAATGTAACAGTGGGTGAGAGTTTCCATGAGAGAGTTATCTTACAGTTTGTCCGGGCTCTCCAGGCTCTCCAGCATGTCCTGTGAATCCTTGGGGTCCCTGTTGATAGGAAAACGACACAACAGTGAGTCGATTTATCCAAATGAGACATTGTTTTATTACTATGTGATCCAGTTAGGTGTGATGAGTAGAACCAGGACTGAACATGTGATCTGACCAGGGGAAACACTGGGCCCTAGTTAGAGGATAAACTAAGTCCTGTGGGTTAGGGGTCATAGTAGGGGTCCTAGTTAGGGGCTATAGTAGGGGTCCTAGTTAGGGGCTATAGTAGGGGTCCTAGTTAGGGGCTATAGTAGGGGTCCTAGTTAGGGGCTGTACTAGGGCCTGTGGGTTTTTCCTGGCAAGGTCACTGAGTCAGGAAAACTTCCTGGCCTTCGTGTTGAGTTTATATGAGAAAAAGACATTGAGTCATTTGACATATTTGAGAAATACTTACAGGGGCTCCGGGAGGTCCGTTGGGTCCTCTAGATCCCATCAAACCCTGAGGAAAGAAATTGACATCAGATCAAAGTAAAGCTACTGTACATGATCTCAATACTGTTCAATCAAAATGGACGTCCAATTTGGATATGAATCAGTGTAGGGGGGAATGAAATTGAAAATATGGCGAACAAAAACTTTTGCATAAAATAGCAGAGGAAGGCTGTGTGAGATCTTATCCAAATTGAAATCTTAAATGATTTGGGAAGAAGAGAATAAATTGGTAATACATTATTCATAATTACCGAATTGGTATTCTATTGGTAAACACTTAGCTATGTATCTTCACGTATCTCTACAGAGTAGAGAGGGGTCACAGCAACAGATGAAGAAATAACTGCAGTGCACCTATCATGTCCAGAGTTTGGTGTAATATTCTGACAGCTGTTCCATGCTGGACGATGAAGAGGTTATGATCAGTGTCGTAACAGCACATGATCTACAATGCTGTTTCTGGCTGAATCCCAAAATAAACCCTACTCCATAGGCAGGTAGCTTAGTGGTTAAGAGCGTTGTGCCAGTAACCGAAAGGTCGCTGGTTCTAATGCCCGAGCCGACTAGGTGAAAAATCTGTCGATGTACCCTTGAGCAAGCCACTTAACCCTAATTCCTCATGTAAGTTGCTCTGGATAAGAGCGTCTGCTAAATGACTAAAATGTAAATGTAATAAGATTAGGAAAGGCTATCAGCTTCGCGGTTATAACTCTACCTTGCCCTCCGATAGGCCAGGTGGAATTTTCACAACATTGCTTGCTTACATCCATCTTATCAGATCCACACAAATGCCTAGGGGTCAGGGGTTAGGCAAGAACTAGTGCCAAGGGAATAGGGCCTAAGGGCTAAGCAGGGACAATGCCAAGGGAATAGGGCCTAAGGGCTAAGCAGGGACAATGCCAAGGGAATAGGGCCTAAGGGCTAAGCAGGGACAATGCCAAGGGAATAGGGCCTAAGGGCTAAGCAGGGACAGTGCCAAGGGAATAGGGCCTAAGGGCTAAGCAGGGACAATGCCAAGGGAATAGGGCCTAAGGGCTAAGCAGGGACAATGCCAAGGGAATAGGGCCTAAGGGCTAAGCAGGGACAGTGCCAAGGGAATAGGGCCTAAGGGCTAAGCAGGGACAGTGCCAAGGGAATAGGGCCTAAGGGCTAAGCAGGGACAATGCCAAGGGAATAGGGCCTAAGGGCTAAGCAGGGACAATGCCAAGGGAATAGGGCCTAAGGGCTAAGCAGGGACAGTGCCAAGGGAATAGGGCCTAAGGGCTAAGCAGGGACAGTGCCAAGGGAATAGGGCCTAAGGGCTAAGCAGGGACAGTGCCAAGGGAATAGGGCCTAAGGGCTAAGCAGGGACAATGCCAAGGGAATAGGGCCTAAGGGCTAAGCAGGGACAATGCCAAGGGAATAGGGCCTAAGGGCTAAGCAGGGACAGTGCCAAGGGAATAGGGCCTAAGGGCTAAGCAGGGACAGTGCCAAGGGAATAGGGCCTAAGGGCTAAGCAGGGACAGTGCCAAGGGAATAGGGCCTAAGGGCTAAGCAGGGACAGTGCCAAGGGAATAGGGCCTAAGGGCTAAGCAGGGACAGTGCCAAGGGAATAGGGCCTAAGGGCTAAGCAGGGACAGTGCCAGGGGCTAGTGCCAAGTAGAGCATGGCACTTGCAACGCCAGGGTTGTGGGTTCGTTTCCCACGGGGGGCCAGTATGAAAATCTATGCACTCACTAACTGTAAGTCGCTCTGGATAAGAGTGTCTGCTAAATTACTAAAATGTAAATGTAAGTAGGTAGGGCATACAGGATTGTGGCAACTGGTTAGGGGTGAGGGTTTAATTTAGGGTTAATTCAGGGTCACCCTCTCTCTCTTGTGTTTGGGGGCCTCACCATGGGTCCAGGTCCGGGGTCGCTGCCTTTTCCTCCATCAAACTGAGCAGCAAAGTTCTGGCAAAACAAAACAGGGACACACATTATTATCACAGAAATGAACAATTAATAAAAGCCATGTTTGACAAATACTAATCGCATAGTAGTCATAATTCCATTGGTTAATCCCAGATGTTCGATTGAGGGTCTTGAGACATGAGAGTAGTAGTCCTTAGGGTCAACCATGATGAACAATATTGACAAACTGTCCCAGTATTGAAAATAACTTTTAGGTCTAAAACGAAATAATCTCAGAATATAAGGTCATTGGAACCTCCAATCACTGTGTTGTGTGTGTAAGCCATGTTTATGCTTTACTGTGTCAGGGGGTCATCGTGGGGTCAAAGGGTCATAGGTCAACAGGGTATAAGGTCATAAGGGTATGAGGTCATGGGGTCAAGACCACCCAATTGAACTCATCCCTAGAGAGTACTAGGTACTTCAAGGGACACTCTGAACACTTTTAACATGGCTGATTTGAAAGAGGAACCAAGTGCCATGCCCCGGTAACACACCAAAACCAACGAGTCTTTTTGGTCACGTTAAGAGTTCAAAATGTCCTCCATTTTCTGAGAGAAAAATGACAGCCAGTGAAAACATTTGTTACAGAACTGTCAGCCATTTGAGTGCAAAAACTGACTGAAATTCTTTGAGAGAAAATATGGTCATTTTTAGAGTGAGAAAATGAGGGACATAATGATATAGGTGAACTTACTCCTCCAAGTCCAGGGGGACCAGGGGGGCCGGCAACGCCGGGGAGTCCAGGTTTACCATCTCTTCCATTACGGCCTTGGGGACCCTGAGAGAGAGATAGAAACAACTTATTATTTAAAGAAATCTTTGAGCTAAAATACTTTATATTCTATACATATTTATGCTGTAATTCCGCTGGAAATGTTCTTCATCCTCTGATGTTGTTTATGATGACTTTCTATTTTTGTTTAGTTTTCTGTTGTGATGTTGCCCAGTCCTGTAACATACTGTAAGTGCTCTACTGTACACTATAGAAAAATGGGAAAACAACACATTCTACATTATTACATAAGCAAAATTATTACAAAATTATTACAATTTACATAGTGATGTATAATTGATTTAAAGCCATTTTAAAATAATATTTATTTGCTTATATGTTTATAATATATCTGGGTAAAAATACATCCAATAATATCGTTGTCAACATCGAGGATATAGGCCTCTATGCCATGTGAATAAGGGGTGTGGCCACAACAGGGTCAAAGTATGTTGTGTAGCCCTCTCAGAAATGTGCATTTAAACAAGTGTAGTAACTTACAGACACCTAACATACAACATCTACACACCAAAGGAAAATTACAATAATTATTGAACAAGGAAAATGTCGAAGCATTTTAAAGTTCACACAAAACAGCTGGGTTTTCTTTGCTTACCCTGTCACCTCGAGGTCCTTTCTCTCCTGTTGGGCCCTATGGTGGGAAAATATCTCAATCAGACAAACATACAAGACAAGACAAACCACTCAAATATACATTTTAAAAGCTTATCAGTGCTTCTAGCAAAGCTGGTCATAGACCCTAATCTCAAATAGATGATTGCATCAATGTTAAAGGAAAAATCCACGCAAACTATATTTTGGTATTTGTTTCATTAATCCATTGTTGATACAGTCCCAAAATGGTTTGCATGTCAGCAGTCAAGTTTTCAAGATATTGGAAGCAAAGCGTCACCAGCCACATCATCATGGCCACATCATCATGATGCATTTTGCATCATCATGATGATGTGGCCGGTGACACTTTGCTTCTTGAAAGTCCAATATCTTAAAAACTTGACTGCTGACATGAAAAACATTTTGGGACTGTATCAACAGTGGATGAATGAAAAAAATACCAACAGATCATTTTTGAGTGGATTTTTCCTTTAATTGAGTTCAAGCATTAGAAGGTAGACTGCAATGTGTCATAATGTGTACATAAACAAACTTGCCCTTACAGTTTGAGGACAAGCATGTCAACACATTAACGTTACTGTATGAGTCAACAGCGCATACTGACTCGGCCTCTCAGTACACTTGACCTTTGACCTTTGAGTAATCCTGAGCCTCAAAGTTTAGATATGCCACACTTTTAAATTACACATAAGAACATGTTTGCTCACCTTGAGTCCCCCCTAAATAGAAAAGAAGATAAATAAATTTCACATTTATTTATTCAGTCTTTCCTACATTTCTTATGTCATTCAACGTGTAGGCTATATCAACCGTACATCAGTTTTCTCATCTCTCTTTTTTGCCAACAAAGCATATTAGTTGCCAGTGTCATAACACAGTATTGCATGCATAAGTGTATATTATAAGTCACATGCTTGTGCAGCTAACTATATCAAACAGATAACAGCACATAAAGATATAATGTCATCTTAATCACTATTGCAGAGAGATGTTTAAAGGTGCACTATGGAGCTGGGTCAATGATCTAATGCCAAATCCAGATTGATGTTGCATGGCAGAAGGCTATGCAGGTGTATAGGCCAATCAATCAATCAATCAATCAATCAATCAATCAATCAATCAATCAATCAATCAATCATAATCAATGAACCTTATAGACACACTGCCCCTTTAAAGTATCAGAATGCCAATATAACTGCTGAGAAACAATATCCAGGTGAGCAATTTGTAACAATCTCAACTATAACAGACCATTCTAAACAAGCAACTCTTCCTTTATACTGTAAAAAAAACATCTGATATAATACAGGCCAAATCCAGGGCCTGTGTTAAAAAAGCTTCTCATAGTAGGAGTGCTGATCTAGGATCAGGTCCCCCCATCCACATAATTTTATAAATGATGATCTAAAAGGCTAAACTGATCCTAGATCAGACTTACTGAATATGGGCCTGGAATGTCTCTGCCATGTTTAGCTTTCAAACCTCTTCCTGATCCTATTAAAGGGCCCGTTGTGCCCAGCGGCCCCATGGGTAAACCAGCACTGGCGGTTTTAACTTTCACTGACACTACCCCTGACCAATAGGAGCCTCACCTATTCATTGGCAGCAAGTGAAGAAAAAATAACCCTCTTCAGAGGTAGACTAAAATCAAACTGAAATACTCTGCTATAGTTGAGATTGCTCAAATTGTCGACAGAGGGATCTTTTCACCGGATATTAGCTGGAACTTGGAACCAACAGACAAGATGCAAAAAGGTAAAATATCTTCTAAAAGCTGTTTTGATAGATAATATCATGCACATGTACTAACCGCTGTGATGTTTCAACAAGGAGGGGGAGGAGGAGGAGGAGGAGGAGGAGGAGGAGGAGGAGGGGGAGGAGGAAAAAGGCATACTCAGTTAGAACATGATCACTAACATAGTAAAATAGTTTCTGTAGCAATCTAAATTCTTTCTTCTTGTGACCCATTTGTCCAATGCAAAATGCCTTATTTTCCTTTGTAGATAGCAAAATAACTGTTGTTCTTTGTTTCCAGAATATACACAAAGATTAGAAAGATTAGGATGATAAGTACCTAAAAGGCAATCTGACAAAAACAACCAAAGCCATATAAAAGGTGAGAGGTATCAAAGCTGTCCATATAAATGCGGCCAAGCTTCTACAATATTCAATAGAGTTTTGTCAACAACAACATTGGGTCATATATAGGTCTGAAGTAGCTACTAAAATTCAACAGCATCCATCTTTGGGAAAAATTAAAATCTTCAAATGTGACTGAATTATTTTCATGCATCACTGCTCACAGACTGGAAATGTCAGTGTCATTTACACACTAGCCAAGCAGCCAGCAGTCAGGTTTTTACAGGTTTCAAAGGCCTGTGTATCCACATCCCCTGAGGAAAACAACTTGTGGTGGAGAGAAGACCAGAAATAAGCCTTGTGTAATTAGGTACTGAATATGGATGTACTACTATAAATTAAGTGATCAGCATTCACTATAGTCTACCTAAGTAAATTATATCCTGTCATATGCTATCCTATGCTTTTGTATTGCATCCTTGCCTATTCTTTTCTATGTAAGGCAACTTGATTTAGAGGAGTCTAAATTACTACATTGGTCTAAATTACTAAATTAGATGAAAATAGATTTAATTCAAGAAACATTGTCAATAGTTTTGAAGAACTATCAACTTATGTTGCTTGTTATGACCTAGGCGTTTCCTGTTTAGGCCTCAGTGGTGTCCTCATTATGATGCGGCATAACAACCAGTTCCTCTTGGTCCTGCCCTGCTGATGGATGACATCGCACCTCCTCTAAAATACTGCGATGTCATGTCCTTACGTGGCCACTAGATGACGCATTTGGACAATTAAAATAATATCATCATGGAAAAGATTGTTTTAACTTATATTACTTGTAAATACAACGCAAATTTCATTTGTGTTACTTGAAAATAATGCTCTTTATTCTTATAATACCAATAGTAACTATATTTCAATGAAATAGCTCTAAACCTAACTACACAAGGCCTTCTCTTCCACAAGGCCTAACAAATAGGCCATAGCTTGCACTAAGTTACTCAATAATATGTCGAAATAATTTTGGGATCGAAAATCTATACTTTTGTAAAGATCTATATGTATTTCTATAGAAAATATATCATGGAGGGCTGATGCCAAAGGGGATGCTGTTAAATTCCCTATAATAAAAGTTCATTCCCTGGACTCTGAACAGTATGTACAACGCCCCAAACTTTTCATCCTAGAAGTTCACAGATAAATTCCAATTGTTGTCTAAATGTTGGTAGCTCCATTGTTCTAAAATCTATTCAAAACCACTAAATTAACAACTTTAAACGATTCTTTCAAGGCTGTGATAACTTTTTTTCATCAGTGCGTTTCTCTCTCGGAGACTAATCAATTGGCAACTGTATCCACGGAAAAAGAATGAAGAATCCACCGAAATGACCAGCATCCGTTCGGTTTTATATAGCCAGAGGGAAGCCCTCAAATGAACTTTTAGCGGTCCTCGGGTTATTTCCAAGTAAGTTCCATATAAAAGCCAAGCATAAGCGCTGTAAGGTCCTCCTGAACTCTTAAAACAGGACAAAAATCCTCGGTAAAAGACAAAACATATCAAACTTACATTGGCATGATGCTAGAAATGAAGTTACTGCAAGCAGCAACAGAATCCGGTTATCCACAAAGCTGAGCATGTCTAAGCAGACATGCAGACTCCTTGTGCTGCAGTGCCCTGTTTAACTACTTCAAGCAGGCATACAGTTGTGGTGACTAGAGTAACTCCAAGATTGGAAACCTGCTGCCGTGATGCTAGAATATTACAGACCAATCAGTCCTATTTATATGGCAGGAGGTTCCTTTGTCTGCGTGTCAACAGTCAGCCCCCGGACCAATAGGAGAAGTGAAATCCTATATGACTCCCATCCCATCCCCAATAAGTCATATGGTCCTACATCTCCAGCCTTCTCTCAGAAACGTTGGCAATGCTTCCGCGATGATGACGAGTGCATCGTTTTAATTAGATCCATTCTTGGGGACGTGGACAATGTAGACGTTTAAAAAGGAGTAAGACCTGCATTTTCTCAGACTTTTGGTAAGGTGGTTCAACACACTGGACGGAGCTTGGTGAGGGCGCGTCGGAGCTTGGTGAGGGCGCGTTGGGCATCCGACTGTCACCTTGTGCTTTGCCCGGGTCGGGTCTGGCGGGTAGGCCAAATCTGTCCAGTGCGGTGCGCGCAGGAATGCGTCGGTGGGCACCGGGGCCCTGCATCTCTGTTAGTCGGATTTAAATAAGAAAATGCCATACAGGGAGAGGACGCAGGAGATTTTTCTTTGTATAAATCAGCAAACATTTTTATGGACTATTTGAAGTCTGCCTGCATTCATTTTATTTTTGATAGAATGAAGCTTTACTCACTGTTATCACTATTTACTGTTTTGCACAATCATGCACTGACTTCACACACAGGCCTCTTCATGCCTGTCGACATTGTAAAGCTTCTAAAATGTCTAAATTACTCCTAATTAATATAAATAAAGCATTTTCCTATTCATCAAGCAAAAAAATAATATACTTTTTCCACCAAACATTTGATATATTTATCTGAGTAAATAAAATCACAGGTTTAATGACAGATCACCCCCAAGCAACATACAGTAGGGGATATGGTGTTTGATATACCTTATAACACAGCTGTAGGCTACATTCATTGATGGTGGATCCGGTGTTCAAAAGGCACTAAGCCCTGTATTCAGGAAAAGCCTGTGCAGTGTCCTGGAATGCAATGTGGAGGTATTATGTGGAGGTATTCTACCGCCTGGACTGAGCATACAAAAGACAGGTGAGAGAGATCTGATTTCAGCTCTTACCTGGCCACATGACCAGACATGTCAACAGTCACACTACTACCACACTAATGATGCCCTAATGCTATCTGTACCTGTCACAGTCACACTACTACCACACTAATGATGCCCTAATGCTATCTGTACCTCTCACAGTCACTTGGACTATTTTTATTTGCACTGCACATGAAAGTAAAATGTACTTAGTTTAATATATACTGAACAAAAATATAAATGCAACATGCAACAATTTCAGTTCATATAAGGAAATCTGTCAATTTTAAATCAATTCATTAGGCCCTAATCTATGGATTTCACATGACTGGGCAGAGGCGCAGCATGGCTGGGAGCCAGGCCCAGCCAATCAGAACAATTATTTCCCCATAAAAGGGCTTTATTACAGACAGAAATACTCCTCAGTTTCATCAGCTGTCCGGGTGGCTGGTCTCAGAAGATCCCGCAGGTGAAGAAGCCGGATGTGGAGGTCTTGGGTTGGCATGGTTACACGTGGTCTGTGGTTGTGAGGCCAGTTGGACGTACTGTCAAATTCTCTGAAACGACATTGGTAGAGAAATTAACATTACATTATCTGTCAACAGCTCTGATGGACATTCCTGCAGTAAGCATGCCAATTGCACACTCCCTCAAAACTTGAGACATCTGTGGCACTGTGTTGTGTGACAAAACTGCACATTTTAGAATGACCTTTTATTGTCCCCAGCACAAGGTGCACCTGTGTAATGATCATGCTGTTTAATCAGCTTCTTGATATGCCACACCTGTCAGGTGGATCGATTATCTTGGCAAAGAAGAAATGCTCACTAACGTGAATGTAAACAAATTTGTGCACAAAATGTGAGAAATAAGCTTTTTGTGCGTATGGAACATTTCTCAGATCTTTTATTTCAGCTCATGAAACATGGGACCAACACTTTACATGTTGAGTTTATATTTTTGTTCAGTATAGTTTGGAAAGGAGCAAAAGTAGGCTATAAAGACTATTCTCACATCAGACACCCCAAGGACACACATTCTTTATAATACAACTTCCTATATCCCCTTAGGGCAACGAGGGCCTACTTCATATGGCTATCATGTTCAACTTCAACAGAGAGGAAAATCATTAATGCAATATCTATGCAGACTCTCAGATCAGAAATAGCCCCATATGTTTTAATTTGATGTAACTAACCACAATTGTAATAATAATAAGAATTTGGTGGGTGCTTATATTTGTCCTATTTCACACGTGTATTAATATTCAAACTAGCAACCTTTTGGATACTGGCTCAATGCTCTATCCGCTAGGCTATCTGCCACCATAGGTTTGACAATTATAAGTTCCTGCCCATATCCTGGCTATCTCTTGATGACATTCGTGGCCTTTCTCCACCCTGACAATATTTGCTGGTTTATTCATTGTGTTCATATATTGTTGATTCATACGTTTATACCTTAATTCAGTCAGAACTCAAATGAGAAAACAGTTCTTATTGCAACCAAGCAGATATCATTTACGAAAGCAAATGCCCTCTCTACCATTAGATATAGCACCTCCCCTCAGATATGTGTGCTATCCTTGATAAACCCAGGCAGTGCTAACAATAAAGCCAATGTGTGGATCATGCACTGTAATGACGCTAACAGTCTTAATACAGTAAAAAATTAACTGGAGGGAGACAGTATGAGTGTTGGGGCCCTAATCTAGCCACTGATGTAGCCTAGTCTGCCTCAAAATGCCCGATTCTGTGTTCTTTTTTTTTTTTCAATGGACCTCCTCCACTGGCCTCCCCTCTCCTCCCTGAGCAGTGCTGGATTTGTTTCTGTCATGCCTGGAATATCCAGACAACCCAAACTCAACTCTCTCTCTCCCTGAGTGAAAGGGGAGATCAGAGAGGTGAAGGGCGAGTGGTACTGGGATGAAATGTGTTTTAAAGATGGCTGCACGCCATTCCCAGGACAACAAGGAGAATTCCCTCATTCTATTCTTCTAGCTGTCGGCCATTTTGCTGAAACCTTTTTCTTCTTCTATTCAACTGTTGCCTCCAGCCCAGATGATGGTCAGGCTATCCAGCACTGCCTGTAGTCAGATTCCAGATGTTCTGTGTTCCTTTTTCCATAAGGGATGTCTCCTCTATTATCCACACTCTCTTATATGATAAACCCAGGCAGTGCTAACAAAATACTGGAGGAAAGGTGCGGATTATGATGATGATACTAGTATTGGGGCCCTAATCTAGCCACTGATGTAGCCTAGTCTGCCTCAAAATGGCCGATTCTCTGCTCTTCTTTTTCCATGGACCTCCTATACTGGCCTCCCCTCTCCTCCCTGAGCAGTGCCGGAAAACATTAGTCATCACTGGAATATCCAGACAACACAAACTCAACTCTCTCTCTGTCCCTGAGTGAAAGGAGAGGGGAAATCAGAGAGGTGAGGGGCAAGTGGTACTGGGATGAAATGTGTTTTAAAGATGGCTGCACGCCCAACTCACTGTTACAGCTGAACATGGCTCATGTTCTCTGACTGAGACGCTGGAAGTCTTAAACTACTTTGAGTCCAGACTGCATTCATGAATATGAAATGAAAGATGCTCCCTGCCTGCAAGACTCCAGTATCTTTTCATTATGACAGACAAAACAATGATAGCGCAGACTCTACTACAGTTGACAACAAACACAGGTCTTAAGTCTAAAAACATTACTCTTCATTAGAGTAGTATTTAGAACAAGAGTTATTTTGAGATCTACAGATCTGCTATCTTTAATTTGACCAGTTTCTGTAGCAGGAAAATAACCCTGCAGCAACAGGACATGTGAGTTGTTATGTGGATTATATTTAAAGGACATTTTGTAGGGGTGATCCATTTTTCTTTAGGGCAAAATAAGTCTGACATTTTAAAGTAGATATTACAAACTGTAGAAGCCGTTTTAAAACTCGTACACAGTACAAGTTTGCATTTCCTGCGGTGCAAAAAAAGTATCTGCGACAACAGAGTGATCAAATTAAGACATTACATCTGTATGTGTGCCTGTGTTTTACTTATGTAAACATCAAGCATCAAAAACCAACAGTTGAATCAAGAAATGCACATACAGGCCTACATCAAGTCAAGTCACCATGTACACTGAACCAAAATATAAACGCAACATGCAGCAAATTTCAAAGATTTTACTGAGTTACAGTTCATATAAGTAAATCAGCCAATTGAAATATATATTCATTAGGCACTAATCTATGGATTTCACATGACTGGGAATACAGATATGCATCTGTTGAGAGAGTAGACAGTAGAGTAGTGTATTACTTTTTTAATCCCAATTTGGGAAATTGTTTTATCACAGCATGCATCATCAATGACTTACAATGACAGAACACGCAACAATGACCAACACATGATCAAAAATAAAATAAAAAACCTGTTAAGACAACCATAGTATCCCTGAAAGAATAGTCTGATTCAAGTGCTGTTGGTCACAGATACCCCCCCCCAAAAAAAGGTAGGGGTGTGGATCAGAAAACCAGTCAGTATCTGGTGTGACCACCATTTGCCTCTTGCAGCGCGACACCTCTCCTTTGCATAGAGTTAATCAGGCTGTTGATTGTGGCCTGTGACATGTTGTCCCACTCCTCTTCAATGGCTGTACGAAGTTGCTGGATATTGGCGGGAAATGGAACACGCTGTCGTACACGTCGATCAAGAGCATCCCAAACATGCTCAATGTGTAATGTGAGTTTGCAGGCCATGGAAGCACTGGAACATTTTCAGCTTCCAGGAATTGTGTTCAGATCCTTGCGACATGGGGCAGTGCATTATCATGCTGAAACATGAGGTGATGGCGGCGGATGAATGGCACGACAATGGGCCTCAGGATCTCGTAACGGTATCTCTGTGCATTCAAATTGCCATCGATAAAATGCAATTGTGTTCGTTGTCCGTAGTTTATGCCTGCCCATACCATAACCCCACCACCACCATGGGGCACTCTGTTTACAACGTTGACATCAGCAAACCGCTCGCCCACACACCGCCATATACGCTGTCTGCCATCTGCCCGGTACAGTTGAAACCGGGATTCATCCTTGAAGATCACACTTCTCCAGCGTGCCAGTGGCCATCGAAGGTGAGCATTTGCCCACTGATGTCGGTTACGACGCTGAACTGCAGTCATGTCAAGAGCCTGGTGAGAACGACAAGCACGCAGATGAGCTTCCCTGAGACGGTTTCTGACAATTTGTGCAGAAATTCTATGGTTGTGCAAACCCACAGTTTTATCAGCTGTCCGGGTGGCTTGTCAGAGACCATCCTGCAGGTGAAGAAACCGGATGTGAAGGTCCTGGGCTGGCATGATTACACATGGTCTGCGGTTGTGAGGCCGGTTGGACGTACTGCCAAATTCCCTAAAACGACGTTGGAGGAGGCTAATGGTAGAGAAATGAACATTCAACTATCTGGCAACAGCTCTGGTGGACATTCCTGCAGTCAGCATGCCAATTGCACGCTCCCTCAAAACTTGAGACATCTGTGGCATTGTGTTGTGACAAAACTGCACATTTTGGTGTGGCCTTTTAATGTCCCCAGCACAATAATAATATAATAATAATAATAATATGCCATTTAGCAGACGCTTTTATCCAAAGCGACTTACAGTCATGCGTGCATACATTTTTGTGTATTGGTGGTCCCGGGGATCGAACCCACTACCTTGGCGTTACAAGCGCCGTGCTCTACCAGCTGAGCTACAGAGGACCACAAGGTGCACCTGTGTAATGATCATGCTGTTTAATCAGCTTCTTGATATGCCACACCTGTCAGGTGGATGGATTATCTTGGCAAAGGAGAAAAATGCTCACTAACAGGGATGTAAACAAATTTGTGCAGAACATTTGAGAGAAACATTTCTGGATTATTTTATTTCAGCTCATGAAAACATGGGACCAACACTTTACATGTTGCGCTTATATTTTTGTTCAGTATATTTAGGTGGTACAGTAATGCATCTTCAACATTGACTTTCACACTGGCACTATACCCTATATAATACCAACAGTGAGTCAGTGTCTAGATAGTTGTTTAGATTACATTTGCAGAAGTCTTTCTCAGAGCTCCAAAAAGGGTTCTCCTATGGGGACAGCCGAAGAACCCTTTTGGAAGTCTTTTTTCTAACAGTATAGTGGTTGTTTGGTCCAGCGTAAACCCCTGGAACTTGAGGTTTCCTAAGGGTCAAAGAGTTTATCATTAGGACCTGTCACACAGTTGAAGATCTCCCCATGGGGATTCCCAATGTTTCCCTTCACACGCTAATGCAACAGTCAGTCTTGTCATTAGAATCAAGTCTGCCCAGTCCATGTTAGAGGATTATGTGTTGATTTGTCTGTCATAAGAAAACTAAACATCATGGTTTACAATGGGCTCCCTGATGTGTGGTACATGATGGTCACTCACAAATGGGAATGAAATGCCCACAGAATAAATTGAGATTTTGCCCTTTCATTTGAATGCGTGCAAACTCCAGTCCTTGAGGGCTAGACCCCTTGTAGCACTTAATTTATCACTTAATGTAATTGACTAGCTTAAAAGAGTTCCAGTCTAAACTCCACATTCTCTCCTACTGAAAGTCCTTCTCAGGACAAGAAGGAGAGTTCCCTCATTATTTTCTTCTAGCCGTCTGCTATTTTGCTGAAACCTTTTTCTCCTTCTTTTCCAGTGTTGCCTGGAGCCTCTGTCTCTGTGTCAGGCTAGCCAGCGTTCTGTGTTTGATTGGCTAGCGTTGGTCTCTCGTCTTGCTGGCCCCTATCATGGCGTCTCATATTTCCCCCAAGTTTAGATAGCTGGCTAGACTAATTTACTAATCTTGAAATTGTTAGATGACATAGCTAATTGAGTGACTGTCAGTGAATGCCATTCAAAAAGAGAAACTGCTGATTCACAACAACATTTCTAAATTGCACCTTGTGTATCCTACTATTCTAAATTTCAACAGTAAGTTGAGACCCAGACTGAGTTTAACCCCAAATATTCTGTTTTGTTTTGGGTCGGGGGGCGGGTGGGCCTATGATGTGTTAATCCGGCCCTGCAGCCAGTTGAAACAGGAAATCAACAAGAGAAATGGCTTAAGACATGACTTCCATCAGTTTTAGTGAATGTAATATACAATATAACAAATTGTAGTTGAGGTACATTCCATTTGATTCATAAAAAGGTTTTGAATACATCAACGGAATTATAGATACAGTGCCTTCAGAAAGAATTCACACACCTTGACTTTTTCCACATTTTGTTGTGTTACAGCCTGAATTTAAAATGGATTAAATTGAGATTTTGTGTCACTAGCCTACACACAATACCCCATAAAGTCAAATTGGTATTATGTTTTTAGAAATGTTTACAAATTAATAAAAAATGAAAAGCTGAAATGTCTTGAGTAAATAAGTATTCAACCCCTTTCTTATGGCAAGCCTAAATAAGTTCAGGAATAAAAATTCATGAGCCAGCATCCCTGTTGAACATTTTTGACACCTTGCACCGACGAATTGAGGCTGTTCTGAGGGCACCTAACTTTTGCACGTAGACAAAGTTAGGTGACCGGCACACAGGTCCAGAGGAGTTCCCTATAGGGGGAGTGTGATGAGAGAGACACAGGGTAGAGATAGAGTCAGTGATTAAAGAGGAGGAACACACACTCCCATAATGATAGACTTATTTCACTGACTAAAGAGAGAGAGAGAGAGAGAGAGAGACACACACACACAGAGAGAGAGACACAGAGAGAGAGAGAGAGAGGAGAGAGAGAGAGAGAGAGAGAGAGAGAGAGAGAGAGAGAGAGAGAGAGAGACACACACAGAGAGAGACACACACAGAGAGAGACAGAGAGAGAGAGAGACACACACAGAGAGAGAGAGAGACACAGAGAGAGAGACACAGAGAGAGAGAGAGAGAGAGAGAGAGAGACACACACAGAGAGAGAGACACAGAGAGAGAGACACACACACAGAGAGAGAGAGACACAGAGAGAGACAAAGAAGAGAGAAGAGAAAGGAGAGAGAGAGAATAGAGAGATATATGAGAGAGAGAGAAGAGGGAATAGAGAGAGATATAGAAGAGAGAGAGAGAGACAGAGAGAAGAGAGAGAAGAGGAGAGAAGAGAGAGAGAGAGATGAGAGAAGAGATAGATAAAAACACATACATACAGCAGCAGTTGACAATGACCAGGGCAGGTGAGGTTTTTAAATGACAGGCTATGCTCCAAGACATATATTCTCTTTCTCTGCTTGGAACACTGTGGTGATTAACCTTCCATGTGAAATATTGAAGGAAAGAACCTGCAAGTAAACATATACTGTGAAACTCGGCTTAGCTGTACTGAAGCAGTATTCATTCCTATTTGTCAGTACTGGGATGCACTCTGGGATTTAGGTTATATAGGTAATGAGCCCCACTACATTAACAGGTACACCATCCTGTAGATAGTGTTGGCAGGAAGAAAATACATTGTTAGTTGCCTTGGCTCAAGATAGACCACCAGTCAGTAACAGATGGCCAGCTGTACAATATACCCCTGCATTCATTAGATATCAGTCCAGTAAGGCAGGACTTCTGATGGCTTTGATACTATACTGTAGGAGATTGCTGGCACATGTATGAATCACAAAGCACCAGGCATGCTGTGTCAAAGAATTCAGAGCATTACACCAACAGGCCTAAACGCATATCAGAATGCTGCTGGCATGCTGTTCCCGGCTTTACCTATACAGACCAGGATGGAAGGAAGGAAGCAGAGGTAAAAACTTTTTAAGGAGCGCTCATTTACTTTATGTGCTTCAAATTATAGAACTTCGACTGTGACCTACTATCACCCCAACCCCAACCCCCCCCCCCCCCCCCCCCCCCCTCTCTCTCTCTCTCTCTCTCTCTCTCTCTCTCTCTCTCTCTCTCTCTCTCTCTCTCTGTCTCTGTCTCTGTCTCTGTCTCTGTCTCTCTCTCTCTCTCTCTCTCTCTGTCTCTGTCTCTGTCTCTGTCTCAAAAACGTTTCAGAGTGCTGTTACTAAGAGAGTGAGGGGGTGGGGTTATTGAGGAGTTATTACCGTAGGATGGGGGTGGGGGTAGGGCATGTGAGTGTAAAAATGAGTCATCGTACATAAACATGGGGGGGGGGGGGGGCAAACTTGGAAATGATTGTCCTGTTGGAGATAGATAACAACTGAGGCTCAGATGGCTCAGAACACAGCTGTTTTCCGTCCGAAAGTTTTACATCTTCTATGTTTAAACAAGCTATTTGGGCCTTGCAGCTGTCTGCATTGATGCTCATTGCATTGCTTGCTTCTCTGTTAGCCCACAGAGTCAAAGAAATGAGCAAGATACCGCCCAGGGTATCTAAGGGTTATCCAACAACAATACGCTAACTATCCCTATTCCCCGTCTGTGAGAGTTGAAGTTTAGTGAGAGAAAGTGCATGGCGTGAAAGAGAATCAAAGTTGGGAACCTCCCTAGGTTCTGCCTAAGACATAGTTATCTTCCTCTGTGTCCACATGACTCATAGTATGGTCAGCAAAGGCATAATAAGCGTGACAGAAATATCCCCACACAATGTCCCTGGAGTCAGGAGCAACAGGCAAATTGGTGGATAACTCTATCTTTGGTTTCAGAGAAAAAACCTGCAACGTACTGTATAATGGGATTTAAGACCAGTGAGAGATTGTCCAGCAAGGGATTATTTATAAAAAGTCTAGTGCTCATGAAGAAATATACAAAGGTCGTTTCAGTTCAAATTCAAAGAATGTCAATGATTCTACAAAAATGCCATTAATTATAATCCACATATTTCAAATGTCCTTTTGCTGCAGGATTATTTTCCTGCTGTAGCAAACTGGCTCAAATTAAGATCCTACATCTGTAGCATGATATAGCCAGCTGGCAGAGATGGAAGAACTACAAGGAATACTGATAATTGTTAGTTTGTGAGATAATGTAGATGCTTTTTATGGTGGAGATCAAGTTTATAAGTTGCCTGGCTGGGCTGATGAGACAGTGGATTGCGCAGTCAGATGGAACAGAGTAAATAGGCATTTTAACGTCATAGATTTAGCCGGTGGTAACTTGTGGAACAGACACTGGCTGGAATGCGGTTTTAACCAATCAGCATTCAGGATTAGACCCACCCGTTGTATAAAGTAGAATGTACAGTACATTCAGAAGGCATCAGCATGGGATAGGTTTCTGTCTGCAATATCGTGAAAGGGTTAAGTCAAGCCAAGGCAGTGTGAGAGAAGTCCTATTACTGCACACATGAGGAACAGATTTAAGTGAGTCCAGTTGTCTGGAGCACCTCTCTCTCTCTGTGGTTGAGTCCCAAATGGCACACTAATCGCTATGTAGTGCACTGCTTTTGACCAGGGCCCATAGGGGTCCATAGGGCTCTGGTCAAAAGTAGTGCACTACATAGGATGCCATTTGGGACGCGACCTCTCTCACTGGCAATGGGGGCAAGTCCAGAGCAGCGCAGTATATCATTATACATCTGGGAAACGCACTGAGGCAGTCTGGTCTGGAGGACAGAAGAGAGAAGAGACAACGAGCTCCATCCGTAACCAGCTTTTATGAAAAAGTATTTAGAGCTGAAAAGATAAGTCCAATAGGAGAGTAATGTAAAGTGGTCTGTTGTAAACCAGTGACTAATACTGTATTGAACTCCATAAACATGCTAAATTACATCTATTTGTAGTCCCATATTATGTGGGAGGTAGTGAGAGCTGGTGACGTTGTTTAGGGGTTTAGGGTGAGTCATAAGGGCCTGTGCTCATTGGTTGTGTCACGGCATCCCTGCTGTCTTCTATATAAGGTGGGAGGGCGTTTACCATCAGGCTCCGCCTTCTTTGTCTATAGGCAAAAGCTATCCGGTATCCTTGGGACATCCCTACCCCATTGAAGTAGACATTTTAAATGGTTAAGTTAAGGGTTAAGGGTATGGTTAGGTAAGGGTTATGGCTAAGGTTAGGGTAAGGGTAAGGGTAGGGGTTAAGGTTAGGGCTAGGGTAGGGACGTCCCAAGGACCCCGGATAGCACTAGGCACGCAAAAAGTATGAGAGGGAAAAATGGCATCATCATTAATATTAATGTTGATGGGAATCTGAGACCCTGTTCATTGCCTCCTCCTATTCCTTCTCTTTGATAACTCCTCCCCCTTTAAGTGGTTGCCCTGGTTTCTCCGCTCTCTTTTCAGGTGTCTGGAATAGATTTACATGGAGAGGAGGTATTTTTTCCCTCTCTTTTTTCCAATATGGAAAATGTTGTTGCCTGGCTGTTTCAGCTTCACATACCACAATAATATCCTTTCCATGACTTCAACTTCTTTGACTCAACTGCAGTCCTGCTGACCGTTTACTTCAGACTATGTTGGAATACTGTGAAAATCTACCTGAATGACTAAGATAGAAAGCAGAGGGCTGCTTCGGGATCACACACACACACACACACACACACACACACACACACACACACACACACACACACACACACACACACACACACACACACACACACACACACACACACACACACACACACACACACACACAGACAAACAGACACAAACAGACACAGACAGACAGACACACACACACACACATCTGCTCCCCACCCCCACAGAGGGTCTCTTCTATGCACCCAGATGTAAACAGCAGGAGAGGGTGGGTCACCATCAAGAGTTATGGAGGGAAGGTCAGAGATGGGAAAAAACAACAGCAAGAAAACTTTCCGTGACTTCAACTTCAACTTCCTGTGCACAACTGAGGGGTTTGTGGAGACCGTGGAGACCCCAAAAGAAACCTCCTCTTGCACTTTCTCGTTCCCTCCCTCTCTCTCTCCCTCTATCCCCCCCTCTCTTTCTCTCTTTCTCTCTCTCTCTTTCTCTGTTCAACCAATATCATCCAGAGGAAATTCCCATTTCTTTCTCTCAGATTTCATTTCATCAGTTGTCCCACAGTCATCCGTCTAACAGCATTTCAAACAGATTTTTCTCTAACTTGCAACACAAGTACTGCATTATTGCATTGATGGACTTAGAGAAGGAACTTATATTGTCTATTGCGATCTGATCTCATTGGAATGGGCTAGGGCACTTCACCCTTAACTTCGGTTGTGCCAAAGGACACATTATGGAAAAGTCAAATGTAATTTGTGGACTTCTCCTTATTTTCCACCAGCTCTTTCTGAAAGTGCTGAGAGTTACTGTACATCCAACGACTACACTCATTCACCAATGTATCTACATAAAGGAATTAAGACTTTGGACATATGGATTAGTTTGAACACAACTTCTCTATAGGTGTAGCTACCCTATACGTATCATTAGAGTAGAGAATTCCAGGTTTCCTGCTGCAGTCTGTGAGTGTTACACCTCCCTGAGGATTCAGCCTCCTGCTTTACGGCTGCTAAACGTCCCAGGAAGTAAATTACTCCTCCAGACCTCTCTCTCTGTGTGAATAGTTTTACAGATGGAGATGGGGGAAAGAAAATGGCTCTCTCAAGAACGAGACATAAGAACAGAAAACGCCCCTGGTAGTACCACTCACTCTCCTTTCTCCAAAAAGGGTTCTTACGGTAAGAACCCTTACACACTCAAGTTGTACAACAGAATTACAACCCATTTTGTCTCAACCGGTGATACAACAGAGGTTTTCTGGACAAACATAATTGGAGACACCACACAACGGTTGTGTAAACATGTCTGTGCACTCGAACTCTTGACTGTGTCACAGAAATATCTGTTTTTATCACAACCATTGTGTCAAATGCGTTGTGCATCAGTTGTACAACGTAAGTGCATACGGGTCAAACCAAATTGAGAAAAAATGTTTTACTGTACAACCATTTCCTTTGAAGAATATTTGTATGATCTGTCTGTTTATTCTGAATTATTTTCCGATCATTTGAAAATCCTATGCCGTGTGGGTGAATGAAGACTAGCATTGGCAAAATATCCCCTTGCTTCAGCAAACATTTCAACAAAACTTCAGCAAAGACATTACTGATTGAATGACGATCACATTTTTATTATTAGTACAATGACATATGGAGTGTATTTGGGTTAAGTTATCCATCTAACTGTAATGTATCTGCCCTCCGTTTCAGGGTTATGGGCTAAAACTAGAAGGTCTTCCACCTGTTTACAATCAAACCTCCACCTGCCACATAAAACCTGTGAGGACACTTGCTGAGGGCACTCTGGTTTTAAACATCTCAGAGCTTGTGGTAAAATTATCACATTTGACCCTATGGCTAGACAGATCCAGTGCTATAGCTGCAGAGGTGGATTTCTTCTTCTTTATTCAATAGAGCACTGTAAAATGAGGTTGGTGTACTTCCTGATATGGGCAGTGTTTTTGTTAACCACCTTATGCTACGGTTGTAACATTGCTACTGCTGTTAGCAATGTTGTTGCTACTGTTGTTAGTGACTTGTTGTTAGCTTGTTTAAGCTACTGTACCTGTTTGATATTTAGGTGAGAAAAGGCTAGTTCGGATAAATTGGTGACATAAACCAGATACTGATAACCAAGCGGTTGGTAAGCATACAAGGTACATTGCTAAACCTCCTATCTAAACCTAGTATGAAGAAATATATTTTACTCAAATCATTCACATCTAATTCTTTGAGTGGAATGTATCACTTTGTCCTCCACAATCATAAGCTTCCACACACTGCAAAGTCACTGATTCATTTGTAATTGTGACCCCATTTCTTTCAGAATGCACAATGATCTTCTGCTCCATGGAAGAATGTGCTGGTCATCTCACAAAGACAAGCTTGGCAGAGTGTGGGTGTATCTGCATCTATTTCAATAGGAGGAGGATGTTCAGTTCCCATCTGTCTGTCTCAGTTTGTCTTTACGCCTCGAGGTTCGTCAGAACGTTTCTGTTTCACAGTCAGGAATGTGATTATTTATCCTTCACATCTCTGTTCTCTGTCTCAGACTGAAGAGGAGTAGAGCCATCTAAACAAACTCCGGTACTTAGAAATAATACTGCGTAGGGTTTAGAAACACTGTCAACAAGTGTTTTGAAAGTCACATTTATTTTGTATCAGGATTACGAGGCATATGAGTTTAGTTCTGTAAAAGAGACCTGACCTCTGTGAGGCATTAAACAAATGTCAGCAATGCTTTTTCAATTTCAGTGTTTTTTTTTACAGTAGTCCATGAGTTTTTCGTTTAGTTCTGTAAAAGAGTCTTGCCTGTGAAGTGATGTCTGTGAGTAGTGACCACCAGTCTCTGCTCTGCTGCTCTGTCATGTTTTCCAGCCTGGCTTCCCCTTTGTCTCATTATCTCTCTCTCTCTCTCTCTCTCTCTCAACTCTCTCTCTCTCTCTCTCGCCAGTCCAAATGTTAGAGTCTGGCTTCCAGAGAAAACAGCCTACAGAGCCAAGGCTAGCAGAGGGAGGATAAAAAGATTGAATGAGGCACAGGCAGAGAGGTCTGTTCCCCTCTCTGCACTGTATAGTTTGAGGTGCAGATTAAAGACTAAACTCTGTTTGCACTTCATAAGACAGTACTTTTGTTTCAAAGCAGAAAGACGGGGCATGCTCGGGTACCATCCATGTTTAGCAGTGGAGGTTGCTGAGGGGAGGACGGCCTCATAATAATACATTTACATTTTAGTCATTTAGCAGACGCTCTTATCCAGAGCGACTTACAGTTAGTGAATACCTTTTTCTACTGGCACCCCGTGGGAATCGAACCCCCAACCCTGGCGTTGCAAATGCCATGCTCTATCAACTGAGCTACATCCCTGCCGGCCATTCCCTCCCCTACCCTGGGCCAATTGTGCGCCGCCCATGAGTCTCCCGGTCGCGGCTGGCTGTGACAGAGCCTGGATTCGAACCAGGATCTCTAGTGGCACAGTTAGCACTGCGATGCAGTGCCTTAGACCACTGCGCCACTCAGGAGACATAATGGCTGAAACAGAGCAAATGGAATGGCATGAAACCCATGGAAATCATGTGTTTGAGACCATTCCAGTATTCCGCTCCAGCCATTACCACGAGCCAGTCTTCCCCAATGAAGGTGCCACCAACCTCCTGTGATGTACAGCCTGTTTGGGAAGAGAAGGAGAGCTGCTGCTTTTCCTTCAAAATAACATGGGAATGGAGTGGGCCAATCAGATGTGTCGGCCTGTAGTCCCTCCCCCTTAGCTCTCTGAGTCTGTCATGGGTTTGAGAGGAAACAAATGGTAAACTAATTACAGCGTTCCCAAAGAAAAAGTGCTGCAGCTTTCAGTCTCTTTTACCATTTAAAAGTCACTGCTTGAGATCTTGTCACACGATCGTCAAACAGAGATGAGGACCAAGGCGCAGCGTTGCAGGCAAACATACTCTTTAATAGAGACACGATCAAAAACAACAAACGATACGTGACAGTTCACGGTCTAACATAAACAGACTTGAAACAAGATCCCACAAACACAAATGGGAAACAGACAGTTTAAATATGGCTCCCAATCAGAGACAACCAACGACAGCTGACACTCGTTGCCTCTGATTGGGAGCCACTCAGGCCAACATAGAAATACACATACTAGATAAACAAATGAAATGCACACCCTGGCTCAACATACAAGTGTCCCCAGAGCCAGGGCGTGACAGTACCCCCCCCTAAAGGCGCGGACTCCGACCGCGCCCACCAAACACCACAGGGGAGGGACCGGGTGGGCACTCCGCTTAGGCGGCGGATCCGGCTCCGGGCCTGATCCTCGCTCCCTCTCCAACCCCCCAAAGTACCCCTGGCCCGGTCTGGCCCCGCTGGCCGGAGCTGGACTGCACACTGGTGGAGCGGATTGCTCTAGCTCCGGCATGAAGCATCTGACCGGTGCCGGACCAGCCACCGGTGGAACAGGCACGGGCCGTGCCGGACTGACGACGCACACCACTGGCTTGGTGTGGGGAGCAGGAGCGGGCCGCGCCGGGCTGACGAAGCGCACCACTGACTTGGTGCGGGGAGCAGGAACGGGCCGTGCCGGGCTGACGAAGCGCACCACTGACTTGGTGCGGGGAGCAGGAACGGGCCGAGCTGGGCTGACGAAACGCACCACTGACTTGGTGCGGGGAGCAGGAATGGGCCGGACCGGGCTGACGACGCGCACCACTGACTTGGTGCGGGGAGCAGGAACGGGCCGCGCCGGGCTGACGAAACGCACCACTGACTTGGTGCGGGGAGCAGGAACGGGCCGTGCCGGGCTGACGAAGCGCACCACTGACTTGGTGCGGGGAGCAGGAACGGGCCGTGCCGGGCTGACGAAACGCACCACTGACTTGGTGCGGGGAGCAGGAACGGGCCGTGCCGGGCTGACGAAACGCACCACTGACTTGGTGCGGGGAGCAGGGACGGGCCGTGCCGGGCTGACGAAGCGCACCACTGACTTGGTGCGGGGAGCAGGAACGGGCCATGCCGGGCTGACGAAGCGCACCACTGGCTTGGTGCGAGTGGCAGGAACAGGCCGGACCGTACTGGGAACACACACCACTGGCCCTACGTGGGGATCAGGAACAGGCCGGACCGGACTGGCAACACACGCCAGTACCTCTCGCCGTGCCTCTACATCCTCCTTCCCCCTGGTGACCAGTGACTCCCGTAACCTGGCGGCCTCCTGCTGCCCCGTCGTCCACGGCGTTAGCCCCCCCCTAAAAAATGTATGGGCTTCACTCCT